ATAACGAAAATCAAGCTCATTAAAATTGTTTTCAAGCAGTGTGTCATACTACTTAAGGAAACACAACATACTCAATAACTCGAATCGAAGCTTTTCTTCCCGATAAATTCGAAGAAAAGTTATTAGCATGGAAAAATTTGAATTTCACATGGATCCATCGAAATGAGAAGCACTAATATTATGCTTAGCATCTTTAATTATAGTATATTTCTTTGAAACCAAAAAGCGATGAGTTAATTCATCATTTGAAACAAAATGATTATTCAATAAGTAAGCAAACAAAGGTATACCTTTCATATCATTTCGACTGAATTAAATCCGCATTCCAATCTCTTCACGAATAAATCTGACGACCTTCATTCTTCTAAATAGTTCGCTTTCAGATAGAATCCTCCACTATTCCTAAATCGTCCCATTATACCTTGAGTATGACTTTCTCATCAAAGTTAAGATTTCATCGATTCTTCTTCAAATTCTGTATGCTATTGAAATTACTGTTCACGGAAGCATTTTACGCAGTTTAAAAGAATTCTGCATTTCCTAAAGATTGTTCCTAGAATATTTATAAATAATATGATCATTAATCGGTCAGTTTTTAGTCATCATTAAAAAGAATATCGATGATATTAAGCACTAAATGGTGATCCGGTAGCTAACGTGTGTTTTTTCACCGGCAAATCTTACGCAATATATCATTAGTCGACGAATACTACGGAAGTTAGTCTTCACTAAAAGAAACGAATATTTAATTTTTTAATGGAATCGCTCTATTACTGGATATTTTACAATTTTCATTTGAGATAGAGTTATCATCGATTTTATTTCAATTTTCGAACAGATCGTCAAGATAGTGAAGAAATTTAGTATTTGTGTTTTAGCACGGGACAAAAATCGAAAGAAATATTAACCGTTTTTTTATTTTCTCTAGTGACTATTTTTTTACAATGAGTATAGAGATCGGTTAATATCATTCGTGTATGCAAGCTATTCTCAACCCAGTTTTCACGAATCACCTGAAGAATATTTGTCATAAAGTATCTGCTCTTTTTTTATTTCCACGGAGGTTATTTTAAGAAATAAATTCGTTAATTGCTATTTTCTGACAAACACACTGTCAAGCAGTTCTATTTCTGTAGTCAGCTTGTTTTCTAGAACTGATTTAAAGAGAAACTTTTTCGGTTTTTCTCACGTTTTGGAGGCAGTTTCAATCGATCGGTAGACAATTTTCCTATGAGTACCATGTTACCAGTAGCGTACCTGAAGTGAACCATTCGAATCAGCAGCTAGTCATTCGTCGGCGCTTCGGAGGAGCGCCACTCACGGCTAGCCGCTGTAAGTCTTAAGAATTCTTCCTCAAATTAATTATCCTCTTGCATTTACAAACTATCCAGTTCACGCTTCACTTCTACTAAAAAAAAACTGTTGGATTTTAAGCAGAAAAATTCTCTATACGAAACTCTAAAGAACAGATTTTGTTGTAAATTAGTCATTGTAGTTTCAAAGGCACGATTCTTCTATAAAATTGGGGTTGTATTCATACTTTTTATTAACGAAATATTAATGGATCATCTTAAAAAAACTTGTTAGCGCAGCCCCTTTTGGGCTGAAATGTGGAACTCACGTATGTTCTTCAGCTTCATTATACTAATATAAAATATACAAAGTATAAAATCAATAATTTCTAAGTTTTTTATTTTACTGACAGGTGCCCTTATCTTTCGTTTTCATTGTTGCTATTCGTTCAGTATTTTTCATTTTTCACAATTTCTTTTTGTCTTAATTTTATATTTTTTTTATCATAATCATTGAATTAATCGGCAAATACGTCTGTTTTACATATCGATTATATCTACAGCAGATCCTATGCACTATTATATATATTAATCAACTCACAAATAATGATCTGGATTATCTTTCAAAATTATAACTTCATCGATTTTGCAAAAAACTATAGAAAGTCTGATGTATGTTATTCTCGATTGCTAAGGTCTGTAATGGGGGGGGGGGGGGGGGGGGGGGTTGGGGGGGTGTCTGTAATGGCGATCTGTCTGTAATGGGAGGCATGTCTGTAATGTTCTCTTCCTCGTTGCTAAGTGTCTGTAATGGAGAGAGCGGGGGGAGCCGCCAAAACTTGAACTTAAAATTTACACTCACTATTTTCTTCGAAAATCTACGTGAGTTCCACAAAACATGCAAGATTTTCTACGGATCTTCTCTGAAGCACAGCTGGAATAGACCTCTGCAATCAGCGACCAGTCGTTCGTCGATGCCCCTCCGGAGCACTACTCACGACTAGTCGCTCTCATAGTTACATATAATTCCTTAATTGACGGTCCTTTCCTATGTACAATCTCCATAGTTTATCCCCTTAATTCATCGCACTACCTTTCTTCATATTCAATGAGAGAATTCTTGATGAAATATTCAAACAAATAAAGATACTACATAATTATCCCCGCATGAAATATATTGTCTCGATCTCTTAAAAAAAAAGTCTCTATCAAATTCAAAGCTATATACGAATCTTTGTTATTTCGAACATCTATATTTTAGTTTCACACAAAATTTCATCTTGGATTTTTATCTTTGGGTATGTATCATACATAGTAAGTTGTTAAGGAAAATGTAGCGACAGTCAAATTCATACATGTTATAATCTCATTTGTAGAATATCTCATGAGGAATGGATCGGATATTGTTGCTCATCACTTTCTTCTCATTTAATTAGCATGGAAATACCGACAAAGAATCTAAACATACACAAATAATAGGTACCTCCACAAGTTCTACACAGATTTCTAAAAAGTTTGGGGTCCAGTTCTGAGCTCTTTTATGATTATCTTCTGCGAAGTCCTTTTTTAATTACTAATATTTTTATAAAATGGCAAAATAATAAAACTGCAAAACCGACTCCGATGTCTAATTGCCCGCTCACGATTGTCTCCAGTCCACATTTTTAGGGGCGTACCAAAAAAACAACTCCTAGAATGTTCCACTGAAGTCGGTTAGTATGTCTACCGTCTAATTGTGATTGTTCATAACCCCATGGGCTATTAAGACCACAATCAAAAGAAAGCAAATAAACTGGACAGAGATATTAAACAAACTTAATTGAATGGGAGATAGAGAGCGAAAAACATCTGTTTGACTGAACTTCTCTTACGAAAATTCTGATTGGCTGAACTTCAAGCACGGAAAATCTTCATTAGCTAAACTTCCAGCATGAAAAAAAAAAAGATGATCGGACGATGGCTTGATATCGAAAATTTTTGATTGACTGGATTTTCAGTTTAAAAGAACGGGATTGAATGAGGTTCCACCAGTTAAATAATCTTAGAGGCTTACTCTCCATTGTAGATATTTCAATCTCTAGTGTTTGACAGTTGACTCTGAAGCAAACCCACAGACAAACTTTTTTTTTTTTTATTGTATGACCCTCCCTTCAGTCAAGGGAACAATCAAAAGACTTCATCAACCCAGTGAAACATATTTTGAAAAAAAAACGGAACAGAATGGTTTCATAAAAATATGGAAACCTTTTTTCTATGTAAAGAATGCGTTCCTTTTGCTAGTGAATCCGTTCATGTTCAAGAAGAAACACTCTCAGTCTGAAGAAACTCGTTCTTTGCCGTTCCACAATAAGACGGAATGCTTTCTTTTCTATTGAGAAATTGTTCTCTATTTGAAGGGAAAGCATTCCGAACCATTCTTAAACCAATAGAATCCATCCTAGTTCATTCTCTTTCGGAACGACACAGATAGTAATCCATCGAAATAAGATCGCTTTCTTTTACGTTTTCTAGAGAAGCATTAAAAGAATGAATTCTTCTAAGTGATGAATACTTTCTTTTGGAATTAAAGCACATTTCGATTCAAAAATCAAAGATCTGAAGCAAAGCAGATTGAAACTGATGTGAGAAATGGTGGAACCTTCAGCTAGTTATTCTTTGGGGATGCTACTTCTGATTTAGAAAAAGCATGATGTTAATAACGGTTTGAGTTACAACAATTTGGAGCACGCCATTCGATCGAACTCGTCGATTTACCCCGGAAATGGTCTTTTGACGAATTAAAGATTTATCCATTAATGATTAGCCCTATGATCAAGAAAGTTACCTTCTCTCAAGAAGAGAAAGCATTCCAAAAATGGTGGAAAGCGTTCCAAAAGTGATGGAATGCTTTTTTGATCGTTCCGTTTTTGGAACGACTAAGAACACGTTCCAAAAGTAATAGAATGCGTTCTAGACCGTTCCATTTTGGAATGCTTTCCATTTTTTTTCGGAACGTTTTCTTTTCTTAAAAAAAAAGGGCTTTCAATTTTTTGGAACGCATTCTCAACCGTTATTTTTTACAAATATTTTTCACTGGGAAATATGATATTTGTTCTTGGTAATAAAGTTGATCTATTACCAAAAGATAGAATTGAGATGAAGAATCTATACAAATGAATAATACACTTCTATTTTAGACAGTGAATCTTATTTATCTGATGTTCGTAAATGTTTGGAAAATGAATGTACAAAACGTGGTTTAGGAAAACATCTAGTTAAATACTATGGTTTAGTTAGTGCTCGAACTAGATATGACATTGAAGAATTTATTTCGAAAGTATTTCGTTATTGATCACAATATAGTTTGTCCCTCTTTCATCTAATTTCTACTTTAATATAAAAGTATTCAGGTGGTGTTTATCTTTTGAGTGATACAAATGTTGGAAAAAGTTGTTTATTTAACAGTTTGATTGATTCTGACCTTAGTCCTATTCGAGCACTTGATTGTGTTCAATGTGCAACTATATGAAATCTTCTTGGTAAAATATATTTCTTTGATTAATATCTTCTTTTCATTGATTTAATTTTAGATGCAACAATGAATGTTCTTCATTTTTCAATTCAATTATAAGCAGAAAAAAATCAATTTATGCGTACTGAAGGTTTAAAAGAACGAGAAGAAAATGAACCTGTGCTTGATGAAGATACAAATATAATTGAAAGTGAAACAACAATTGTTGGTAGGTATTTTTCTTTTAATGAACAAGATATGAAAGATGAAATTTTAGAAAATATTGAATCAACAGTGAAATGGTGTCGTCAATTTGAATCTGAAATGAATTTACCAAAGAATAGTGTATCATATACATATTCATCTGGTGAAAATGCATTCAATGAAGATCATTCATTTGAATCAAGTGAACATAATTATGTTAATTATCAACAAAAGAAAATGAGAGCATTTAATCTTGATTCGTATAATTTTATCTGAACAAGTATGAAATAAAAAATTTTATTTTTATTTAAATTTAAATTTTCTTTTTGTTGTAGATGATCAATAAATGTAGTAGAAAAGAAGAACTTTCATTTTTCAACGATGAATTAACTGTTATTCGACCAGTGAATATTTTATTAGATGTTGGTCAAACGATATTAATTGGTCAAGTTACTAGTATTAATGTTAAATATGTTCGTTGATGTTAGTTTTTTTTATTATTTATTGTTAAATAATTATTCATGTTTATAGATGAGTGATAATTTTTTTCTTCGTCAATATCTTTTTTTAAACCTTCCATGAGATTCAGCATAAAAAGTTGGCTATGAAATGGTATTTGGGATTGTTCGTAGCTCACTTGAGCTGGAGTATCCTGCTTTCACTATATATCTCGACATGTGCCGAGAAATTGACCTGTGTAGCTCAAGAAGTTTGATAGAAGATAGTGATTTTTTTTGATCAATGATGTTTTCTAGACCAGATCAACCGTTTGATGGGAAAAAAATCGAAAAAAAAAAAATCTTTTCCAAAATTGTGGTTGGATCTCCATGAATTTACCCTAATAGAAAAACGAAGCTTAACCAATCATAAACGCTTCTACCCGTGTTACTAGCCCTTTATCTAGGTGTCGTGGTGTGGGATCGCGTAGCACCCCCAAAGAGCCGCGACCCACGCTCGTCTCTGTGTATACAGTGGTATCGAGACCTATATCTCCAATAGCTACTATCCCTACTATCTCTAACATGCCAACTGTTCCGACTATCCATCCTATATCTCGTATATTTTTCACCCTCGGTTTAATCGGATTTCTAGGAAAAGTCCAAAAACACATCTAATCTTTATTCTATATTGTTTTGAAAATGTATTTATACAAAAAAAAAAAATACGCATTTGATAAGTAGAGAAATTGATGAATTAAGATCGGCGAAGTTATTTGGTTTTTCATATGTGTTTCCATTGATTATTTCTTCAATCTTTAAATATTTCAAAAGATGGATTTAGTAAAAAAACTGCCAGAAGTCTAAATAAAAACTGTCAAATCGTAAGTCGATTAAAAAGTATTTATTTTATTTACAGTATTTGATTCAATTGATTCTTCATCAATAAAACCATTCTGATCATCAACACATTTATCATTGTCTGAATTTAATTTTGTCTCTAAAGTTATTTATGCATACGAATATTCAGTATGATGTCCTTGATGACCATCATTACCTTGTGTAAATACATGAGAAGACGAATCAAGAATAATTGAATCCCTTTTTTAAAATTACCAACAATTTTTTAGTTGAAATATTCTATTTTAGTATTGATATATTTTAATAGATGTAATCAGTTGACAAGAAAAGAAAAAACACTATATCATAGTTATTGAAAAGAGTAAAAAAACTTGTATTTGACAATAGAATAAAAACAGAAGAAAGAATAAATAGATATATATTTGATGTATATAAAAACATGATCTAACTTGAACAGTAGTATTTTCATGAACAATAATATTATTTTCTGCTTCTTTTTATTCAATAATTGGTGTATCATGTGTTTCATTCATTTTTTTTTATTTTATTTTTTTCGTTTCATCTTCATGTCCAAGTTCACTTTTTTTTTTACTAAGATCATTTCCTGTATCAGTTGCAATTACTGCTGATTCTTCTTTTTCATATTTATTTACTTCTTTTAATGATACATTATTAACTCGACCAAGTGAAAGACTTGTCGGAGGTACAGTTGTATTTGTATTCATAACACTTTCTTGTTCGTCAGTTGGTAATACAATTTCTGTTTCAGTTGTTGTTGCTGATATTGAAGATTCTGTGATTGATTCTGATCTTAAACAAATAATACCCAATTGTAATGTATTCATATGAAACGACTACTTACAATTCAAATACAACATCATCTGGAATAAATGAAAGTGCTCTATTAAATTGTTCAAGTTCTTCAGGTGTACATGATCTCTAAAAAATTCTCAATGCTTGTCGACTGAAATTTCCATTGTAATTGAGATTTGCTTATTGATTTAACATTGAGATTTGTTATTGCAATGTTAAACTTTCCAGAAACAGATGCCCAAAAAATTCCCATTGAAGCAATTTTCAATTGAGAACAATAATTGATCCATAGACTGGGATAATCATCAGTATTCTCAACTTCATCGTCTACAAATAATCGTATATTAATATGTCTAAAGATATTTTAAAACTAACCATCAGATTCTTCTTCACTTTCAGGTATCATTAGTACGGGTTTGATTATTATTATTCGATTTTTTAGTTGTTGATAGAGATATAAAAGATCATTATTGACAAAATCTTCATCATTAATATCAACTAGATTGTTAAATATATTAAAACATGCTTGTCGAATATTAATACCTTCATTTAGATCACCACCAGTTACTAATACAAATATATCTTTAATGTATGGTTCATTGAATTCATCCATCATTGAATTAATGCCGAGAAAATCTTTCAACAGGTCAAATATAAAGTTCAACAACCATCGAATTATTTTTACTTGTGACATTGTTTTTTCATCTTTATGAAATGTATAATGATGGAGGATGCATTGTTGTTCTGTTTTAAAAATACAATCGATGATAAAACTAGGGGTGGGAAGTTACCGTTACCTGGGAACGGTAACGGGGAGTTACCAGTTTCCGGGGAACGGGGGAACGGGCCTATTATAAAGGGTACCCTTAGGTCCTCAAGTCCCATACTATGGGTACCCTTAGGTCCTCAAGTCTTATACTGCGGGGATATCCTTAGGTCACTAAGTCCTCTTATTGGGGGGTACCCCTGGGTCCTCAAGTCCCGTACTCTAGGGGTACCCTTGGGTCGTCAAGTCCTATAGTACGGGAGTACGCTTAGGTCCTCAAGTCCTATTACTTTGGGGACACCCTTGGGTCCTCAAGTCCTACTATCAGGGAGTACCCTTGGGCCCTCAAGTCCTACTATTGGGAGGTACCCTTGAGTCATCAACTCCTACTATTGGGGAATACCCTGGGGTCCTCAACTCATATTATTGGGGAGTACCCTTGGGTCCTCAAGCACAAATGCCAAAGCTGTATTTTCGCCGTGTTGCATTGAGTAGGAGCCCATGCATACATCCATCAATCGATAGAGCACCCTCGATAACCCTATGATTGGCTCGAACATGGCTATGTGTTGTCCTTACAATAAGGGAAAAAAGGCTCCTGAAATCTCATTGGTCTATTTTTGCACCAATCAAATGGCAGGATACTATTTCTCAGTGATGGGATTGGTGGGGACCCCCACATATACCCATCAATCGATAGAGCATCCTCGATAACCCTATGATCGGTCCGAACATGGCTATGTGTTGTCCTTACAATAAGAGAAAAAAGAGCTCGTGAGATCTGATTGGCCTATTTCTGGGCCAATCAAATGTCAGGATTCTATTTCTCAGTGATGGGATTGGTGGGGACCCCCACATATACCCATCAATCGATGGAGCATCCTCGATAACCCTATGATTGGCCCGAACATGGCTATGCGTTGTCCTTACAATAAGGGAAAAAAGGCTCCTGGAATCTGATTGGTCTATTTTTGGACCAATCAAATGGCAGGATTCTATTTCTCAGTGATGGGATTGGTGGGGACCCCCACAAATACCCATCAATCGATAGAGCATCCTCGATAACCCTATGATTGGCCCGAACATGGCTATGTGTTGTCCTTACAATAAGAGAAAAAAGGGCTCGTGAAATCTGATTGGCCTATTTTTGCACCAATCAAATGGCAGGGTTCTATTTCTCAGTGATGGGATTGGTGGGGACCCCCACATATACCCATCAATCGATAGAGCATCCTCGATAACCCTATGATCGGCCCGAACATGGCTATGTGTTGTCCTTAGAATAAGAGAAAAAAGGGCTCGTGAAATCTGATTGGTCTATTTTTGGACCAATCAAATGGCAGGATTCTATTTCTCAGTGATGGGATTGGTGGGGACCCCCACATATACCCA